CCCATAGATTTCCACCCCCCAGTCCTTTGTAAGGTTTTTTCACTGCTTTTCCCAAAAATCCATCTCATTGGCAGAAGGCAGTGCCAGGCCTGGCTCATGTCCCAGGTGTGTCCCACCTGTTCCCTTTGGAGCTGCCCCTCCCCACATGGAGCCCCCAGGGGTTGGGGGAGCTCAGAGAAGCTGTTGGGAAGGCTCCAGCTGTAACTCCAGCTGTGGAGTGAGTTCTGCACAACACCCCAATGATAAATTTGGCTGATAAATGGCTTTTCAAGGATGAGGCAGTTTCAAAAGAAGTTATCAGGAAAATCTGAAAGGGATGAGGAGGAAATGGATGGCCTTGCCTTTGAGTTTTATTGCTTAATGTAGCTTGGGGAAGCACCAGGCAGCTCTGGTGCAGGGAGCACTCAGTGCACACCAGGAGCAGCCTGGGTTTGATGGCTGCAACCCCCCTGAGATTCCAGAGGCAGGATAAACATGCTGAGTACATCCAAAGGCAATTTTGATAACTTCTGGAGGGATAATTGAGTTGCTGTGACTTGCTTGCTCTGAGAGATGAGAAATGTTCACCTGGGGGCTGCAGGGAGCGTGGCTGCTCCATCCCCGCTCCATGGATGGAAATGCAGCACAGGGATTGCTCATTTCCCCACGGTGCTGATTAACTTGAAAGCTGCAGCTGAGGGTTGACATTGTGCACAGATGTGCTAATCTGCAAACTGAGAAACTCCCATTATTTTCCATGCAGTGATTAGTAGGGAAAATGATATCTGATCTCCTGGAAAGATTAATGTCAGACACGAGCACATTTATCCTTCAATCTCAGCGCTGCACAAGGGCTTCAAAAACTGCAAAAATAACTCAGATAAACCTGGTAGTAAATTAAGAATCCCTTGGATGTGGAGTCTGCTGGGGTTCTCCAGGGTTTTGTTCTCTGTAGTGCTGTAATTTCTTGCACTTGGTATGTGGCAGCTCTCAAATGCTCCATCTGATTTGGGATTGGGAACTGCTGTCTTTTCTGAGTGTCATTTGCTGAATGATTCAGAGTCTTTCCAGAATTACACATTCAGAAATAGTCCCCCAATGTTGCTTAGGCCATAAAAATAACTCTATAAGGGACATGGGGAGGATACCCAGTCTATCCCAGAGCCAAATCCTTCTTCTTGCATCATCCCTGCTTCACTGATGTCTAAGGCTCTTTTTTTGTTTTGTTGTAGGGATGTGGGTGCCAGCTGGACAGGCAATTGGTAAGTACATTATATGGGACCAATTCTGAAAGGAAAAAAATCCTCCTAAGCACGGGTGCAGCTTCTTTGAGCATTCACAGTGATTTTTGGATTTCTGTAGGATTTAACCTACATTTAAAAGCTTGATTGAATTTGTCCTGGAAGAACAGAGGGGAAGACAGTGGCTTCTTAGCAGCTCAGTAATAGGAGCTGACACACATCCTGCTGTTGCAGCCACATTCATTTGTTACCAAGGGATTACATGCTAAACTGCAGTTATTTACAGTGGGGATACTTGGAGGACAAATATTTCCCAAAGTGAGGATTCATAGAAAGCTGAAGCTGCATTTGAAATCCACCCAACAGCCTTACCCCATCTAGAGGAAGCTGACTCCAGCAGCAGCTCCTTGGTATTCCTGTGGTTCAGTTTTTGCTTTTCTCTTTATTTTCCAGGTGGATATGGACCCCCTCCTCCAGGCAGAGGAGCTCCTCCCCCACCACCTCCATTTACCTCATACATTGTCTCCACACCTCCCGGGGGGTTCCCACCCCCACAAGGATTTCCACAGGGCTATGGCACCCCTCCACCATTTAGTAAGTGATCCCCAGGAGCTGGAGCTCATCCAGCTTTTCCTCATTGTTTGCTGGACCTGGTTTCACCTATCCTTAATTATTTTCCCCAAATTATATATTCAGAGCAGTAGCATTATTTTTTTTTCTTGGATTATTTTATTCTTAGATGAAGTAATCATTTCTGTTCTCTATATTAAATCTATGTTGCTAAATAAATTTAGATACATTGTGCACCTTTGTTAGGACAATCAGAGAGAAAACTTAGAGCTCACTGTTGGTAACCTGGGCCAAACACAGGCAGGGTTTTTTGGAGGAGCTTAAGGAATTAAGGTCACAACTGGGACTGGAAATACAAGTAGGATTTTAGCACCTACCTCTCAGGCCACCGTTGCAAAAGTCTGTCTCAAACCTGGTTTAAAGAAGGTGGAAAATAGTATCCAGTTATCACTTTTTACTCCTAAAATCTTGGATAATTTGGCTTCCTCCTCACTTCTCATGTCTGTAAGCACAATTTGGTCCCCAGTTCTGCTTTAGCCCTTTCTCTGTGCTCTGCCTTTGGGGAGGACATTTCTCCCACCTGTGCAGGGTGAATTGCTGAGATCTTTGGGCCATGGGGGTGACCAAGAAGAATCTGTGCAGCCACTGGTCACAAACAGCATCAGAAATGTTGGTTTTCAATTGTGTCATCTCTAAAGCCTTGCAGGATGTTGATGTTCACCTGTTGTGTCCTTGCAGGTTTTAGTTATGGTGCTCCACCTCCTCCACCTGACCAGTTTGCCCCCCCTGGAGTCCCCCCTCCACCTGCCACTCCAGGGGCAGCACCACTCGCTTTTCCTCCACCACCACCTCCATCTCAGGCAACTCAGGACATGAGCAAACCCCCGACTGCTCAGCCAGAATTCCCTTACAGTCAGTTTGGTGAGTAACTCCTGCAATTCATCCCCTTTCCCTTTAGTCCTGAGTACAGAGTGTTGGACACAGTTTGCTGCAGGCATTCTCCAGCATGGGAATGTTCCCACCAGCTCAAGCCATCCTTAAATCATGCAATGTTCTAGCCAGAGGGAATTTTCTTAGCTCTAAAGTGTTGCTTTTGTGCTGTAAAATGAGCTTCAGGGATTTGTGCATTGCCAGAATAAATTCCTGATTTCCACAAACTTCCACTCCAAGAGCTTTGCAGAGCTTGTAGTGAACTTTTTTTTTGTGTCTCCAGACCTTGGAGAACAGACTTGAAGAGTAAAAGCAGCATGGAGAGACAGGCAGTGCATGTGTAAGGATCCAAACCTGTGCCTTTTCCTGCCTTTTCTCATCCCTTCCCATCTCTCTGGAGGTGCAGTTCTGTACAAAGCTTTGTTGTGCTCTGTAGGAAACTTTGAGGTAGAAGGCTCTGAGCTAACAAGTTTTACAGCAGGCAGGCAATGCTACAAAAAACAAATTCTTTTTAAAATTGTGCCTGTGCTCCAGAGTGAAATTTCTGCTGCTGCTCCCTGAGGGAGCTCAGAGGGAATTCTCATTCTCATCTTGCTCCTCTCAGCCCTGTTTCTCAGCAGTGAGATCTCTCCAAAGAGCTCTGTACTAATGTTTTTGTTAAGGGATTGTAATTGGTCAGTTTTAATTCTGAAGGGAATTTTGCATGCAGCAGCCCGTGGATTCAGGTTGTGCCCTGCTGGAACACGTTCTCCATGTGGTAGTGCTGCCTCAAGTTCCTGCAGAAACTTTCCTGTGAGATGAAAACTTCACAACATTTATTTAAATAGATAATATTCAAAATTCCAGCAATGTAAAGCAGCCTCTGAAGGAAGATGAGCCTTTGAGATGTGTTTGTGAAGCAACATGTTCTCATGTTGATGAGTTTGAAATGTTTTTTCATTTGTTTCTTACACAGCTGATTTCCTGGATAGTTTTGCCCTTGTGACTCAAAAGTTTTTCTTGTTCTGCCAGAACTTGGCTCTTTGCAGGCTCTTTTTGGAGTGGGTTGGACTCTTCTAAATAAAGCACAAATCCCTGCTCAGCCATTTAGGAGCAGCCAGAGTTTGGGAGGAGTTGGAAGTTTAGGAAGGATCTGATGGAGAAGGACTCTTCATCTGAAGCTGGTGACAGGACAAGAGGAATGGCTTTGATCTGGAAAAGAATAGGTTTAAACTGGATATTAGGAAAAACTTTTCACTGTGAGGCTGTTGGCAGAGAAGCTGTGGCTGCCCCATCCCTGGAAGTGTTCCAATTTGCATATATTTACATAAATGCATAAAGCTTGTGGGCTTTAAAGAGTCACACAGTTCCCTAATGAGCACAAGGCAGTGTGAGGTTTATCCTGGGCAGTGTCCTAAACCCTTCAGTGTGTGCACCCAGGATGGGTGTCAGCACTAACACTCACCCTACAAAATCAAATTAATTACATTAATTTAAACTAATTAAAAATTCATCATCTCTGCGCAGTCCCTTCAGTTCTGACTGGGATGGGTTTGTCTGCTCCACACCCTTCAGGCCTCACCCAAAGCTTTGTCTGCACTCCCAAGGTCAGGCTGAGCAGGGA